TGAAAGTGGGATTTACACACGTCTCCTCCAGAAAATGACCCACAAGCTGCCAGTCACAAACAAGAAGGTGAATAAGTCTTAAATGACTGCTTAAGTTTTCAACAGAAATGAATATCTATCTAATTGCTCAAAACACAACTCTTTATACAGCTACTTCCACAGTATATCTAAAACAGAACAACATGATTCATTATGTGAACTCCCAACCACCAGAGAACCCAAATTACACCCACTCTCCCTGTTGTCCCCAGTCCAACAAACAGTTTCCAGTCTTTTGCTTTTGCTGATGTCTTAGGCCCTTGTCTATAGGTTAACTCACATCATACTCACTGATCTAGAAACTAAAATACTCAAACCACAGGCCTCCCTCTGTGAGACATTACATCGCACATACTTATAGATCATCTAAGCTTAACATCAGAAGAAAAGACGAGAGCCAGCATCTCAACAATTTCACAAGGAAACCAGAAAGAGAGAAGATTTACTTTGTCTAGTAAATGTGCTGTGGTTTGAGGAGGGGGACACTTGATGTCAAACCTCAAACATGCATCTGCCAAATACTTGTTTGTTTCATCACTTGAAAAGTCCTTAGGTATATTGAGGTTAGCCATCTTCTCCAACTCCTCTATCATGTCAATCCTCCTGCACAATTAGGCAGTAAATTTATTACACATTTACTCTGTGATTAATGATATTGATCATGCATTGTAAGGGAATATTATCCACGAACCTAAAAGGGGAAGTGAAATCAATCTCAATTGGCTCCTTATCAAGCCCATCCGTATGATATTTGATTGTATAGGCACCAGTAAGCTCCTTAACCATCCCTGTTGCATAAAAACTGAGTCAGAAAAAGTCCAAGGAACTCAAAAGGTAAGACGCAATAATGGAAGTGCATATCTTGCAAAACTGAAACATTTTTAATACCTACCACTTAACATTTTCTCAGTGAGTTCCATCAGGTCATTGTAGTCCATGAAAGCCATGTAGAATTCACAAGTTGTAAACTCAGGATTGTGAGTTAAATCAATACCCTTATTTCTAAGTTGTTTTCCTATTTCATAAATGCGATCCAGTCCACCAACTACTAACTCCTTGAGATAGAGTTCAGGTGCAATATGCATGTACAGCCTCATATTCAATTCATTGTGATGGGTCACAAATGGGCGTGCAGCTGCTCCACCAGCAATCATGTTCATGTGTTTCAACCTGAGAATATTACTGTACATAAATGACACCAAAAAATAGCAAAATTACAGTAACAAAAAATGATATAATCTAATGATAAAATAGATAAACTACCTCTCGAAAACCAAGGTTGAAAATGTTATCGGGTGTAAATGGGTGTTCCGTTTAAAGAGAGGTAAAAACGGTGAAATTGAGCACTACAATGCACGGTTGGTTCCCAAAGGGTTTCACCAATGTCCTGGTCATGATTATTCTAATACTTTCAGTCCTGTCATCAAACCCACCACCATTTGCACTGTGTTTACTATTTTTGTGAGTCAAGCTTGGTCAATCCGGCAACTCGACATGAACAATGCCTTTTTCCATGGCTCTGTTGACGAGGACTTGTATTTGGCTCAACCGGCAGGTTTTATTGAACAAAATCTTCCTCATCATGTTTGTAAACTAAAGAAAGCAATCTATGGCCTTAAGTAGGCTCCACGGGCATGGTACACTGAATTGAAAAAGTTCCTTCTTGGTTTTGGTTTGGTTAATTCTCATTCTGATTGTTCCTTATTCATTCACAATAATGCTGGAATCATTGTCTATGTGCTAGTCTATGTTGATGATATACTGATTACTAGGAACAGTGCTACTTTTATCTTAGACTTGATCCACAAGTTGGGGTAGAAATTTTCCTTGAAGGACCTTGGTGACCTCAGTTTGTTCTTGGGCATCAAGGCAATTAAAACCTCAGCTGGTTTATTTCTTTCTCAGCATAGATATATTAATGACCTCTTGTAGAAGCATAAAATGGATGGTGCTAAACCGGTTGCAACACCCATGTCTTCTTCCGGGTTGTCTCCTCAAACTGGTTCTCCACTTCTTTTAGATGGCACAACTTATCAAAGACTCATTGGCTCCTTGTAGTACCTGTCCTTAACTAGCCCTGACATCTCCTTTGCTGTTAATAAATTATCTCAGTATATGCATTATCCCATTGAGATGCAGTGGTAGGTAGTCAAATATATCTTATGATATCTGAAGTATACTATGTTCCATGGGTTACTAATACGACCCACTTCTACTCTTGCTCTTCATGTCTTTAGTGATTCTGATTAGACAGGTGACAAGGACACTCGTGTCTTTACTATTGGCTATGTTGTCTTCCTTGGTGCCACCCTTATCTCTTGGAAGGCAAGTAAACAAAAAGCCATTGCTCGCAGTTCAACCGAGGCCAAGTATAGAGCTCTAGCAGCAGCTTCTTTTGAGTTAGTGTGGGTACTGCATTTGTTGACTGAGCTTGGCATTCATTTTGGTGCTCCACCAGTGCTTTACCTGTGATAATGCTGGCGCCACATATCTCAGTAGTAATCCAGTCATGCACTCTAGTATGAAGCACATAGCAATTGATCTTCATTTCATTCGTGATCTCGTTGATAAGAAAATTCTTCATGTCTCTCATATTGCCTCTGTCGATCAACTTACTGATGGGTTGACCAAACCACTGTCTTCATCAAGATTTGCCTTGTTGCGTTCCAAGATTGGTATCGTTGATGGCTTTACCATCTTGCGGGGGCGTATTAAGGAAACACAGAATGCTACAACATCAATCATGGTTCAATCAAATACAAGGGATATCAAGTCCTAATTATTCTCACAATCAGTTTTTCCAATCATATATTCTGCATTAATAAGGATTCTTTGTATTATGTATATTTCTATTTTTACAAGCTCTTTCCATAAGAGTTAATTAGGGCAACATCTCAATTTGTATATGTTTGTAACCTCAAGGAATAGTAAAATGATCTTTCACTCTTAGCCTCTTCTTTCACCCTATTAAGGTTCACCTTTGTCATATCAAGGTAGTGTAAGGAAGAAAGACCTGATAGCCAATGAGAATTCTCAACATGTAAGAAAAAATTCCATTGAAGGTCGAGATATTTTAGATTAGAGAGGTTCCCAAGATGATGAGGGACCTCCCCTACAAATTTGCAATCGGAGAGGTTAAGGTCTCTTAAACTCCTCAAATAACCAAAGAATTTGGGAATGTGGGTTCTAAAATTATTGTTGCTGAGGTCCAAATAACGCAATTGCTTCAAATTGAGCAGAGAAGGACTTATCTTACCGCCCAACTTCGATCTCTCATTAGCCTCATATTGATCGGGATTAGAAGCCACGGTAGGAGTATTAAGACAGAGTTCAAGAACATGGCTGGTCACATTATCGCAGACAACTCCCCTTCCATTTGCAGCAATCTTCATCATCAACAACCCAAGAGGTGAGTCGGGCAGCAGGATCAACCATATCCTGCTTCAACTTCAAGAGGGCTTGCCTCTCCCTCTCTGTGCAGCCTCCATTGCAAAAGGCAGCATTTAAAGTAGCCAGACTGAGAAATCCAATGAGGAGAGTAGTAAAAAAACCCATTGTAATTTTAGAATAGAAGGAATTCTGCCCACCAATTGGTTATTGGACAGGTTAAAGTAACTTAAAAAAGTCAAGCTCGACATGCTTTCTGGAATTGAACCAGACAATATGTTTACTGAGAAATCAACTGATTCTAACATTCTCATGTTACCGATTCTTTTTGGGATCCTTCCAATAAAATGATTGTGTGATAAATTCAACGATTGCAACCCTTGCAACTTAGTTATTTCCTGAGGGATCGCCCCTAATAAACTGTTGCTTGAAAAATGCATGATTCTCACCAAGTAAAGCGTCTTGTCATATTTAAGCTTTTGCCCTTTCATCACAACATCTGCATTCTAGACGTAATTTACACCCTCCAAAAGTTATCCATTACCGTATCCAATTGGATATCCACGAACGTAGCCAAAGTCTAACTCCAGAGAATGGTTGTCCATTGAGAGCAAGACACTTATATTTCTTCCAGAGAGATTGTTATGGGCAAGGTCTATGATTTGAAGAGAATTTAGTGAACATAACTCACTTGGGATCTGCCCCCAAAATTTGTTTGAACAAAGGTTCAAGATTACAAGGTTCAAAAGGCTATGCAATGTTTTTGGGCTCGGTCCGGTGGTTGACCCGATTTGGCCATTGGGTCTGGTTGAACTGATTAAATCGGTTCATCGAATCTGTACAACCGGTCAACTTAAAAAACATTATTAGATTTTACTATTGTATATTATTTTTATTTTATTCTTAAAAAATAATCATCATAAGATCAACTTGAAAATCATCATTTAGACCATTAAAATAATAAATTTAATTAAATACATATAATTTTTAAGATCTAAACTAACAAATATTAAAATATCTAATATAAGATAAGTTTATCAAGTATGATAATAAGAAAAAACTCAATCTTATATTAAATTCACTACAAAATAAGTTTTGAATATAAAAAAAAATCTCAAACCAAATCCACAATAAAAACAAATGTTAAATAGATGAAGCACCATTACTAATTCATTTATTTTGCCTTAAACGAAGA